TACAAATATAAAATGAATACATGTCAAATTTTTATTTAACTCTTTAATTAATGAGGAAACTAGTAAGATGTTACAACAGGTTCAAGGGCAAATTCAAAAAGCAGATATATAGGCATGTGGGCAATCAAAAATACTGACATAAATCTGCTTTAATAGATGCAAAACCCCTCTGAAGGAGGATAGGGGAGACAATTTTCGAATTCACTGACATGTCATTGAATTCTGAGATTCCTACCCCCCAGCGTGTAGGCCCTGAGGAAAGCAGCACTAGGAGCACAATGGATCTCATTGTCATGATCAGGAAACATTAGATGACACAGGTGACGGGATCTGAAGATGTAATTAAATCTTCAAGACAAATTAATCAAAAGGGAGATTATCCTGAATGGGTCTGACCTAATCAAGGAAGCCATTTGAAGCAGGAAGACTTCGGCAAGGCCTTTGAAAAGCAAGCTGTGGCAGGGCAACCTGGTGGGGAAAGGCAGGCAGACTCTCTCCACAGCTTCAGGGAAGCTGGGGACCTGGCCCTCAATCCTAGAGCTGCAAGATGAAGTTGGCTAACGGTGATCTTGGAAGAGGAGTCCCAGATGAGATTCCACCCAGAAACCCTGGTTTCTCCTGCTGAGACTCTAGGCAGAAGACCCAGGAAAACTGTGTGGGGACCCCAGACCCAGAGAAAATATAAGATAATAAGTGCATGGTATATTAAGTTGCTAAATTTGTGCTTATTAAACAGCAGTAGAGAATGAATACATCTGTTCATTGAGGATAACTTTTGTATTGCTAGGCACCAGTTAGCTAGGACATACAAAGTTGTAAATAGTTCAAGGGCACAAAGAAGCAGAGACTCCACAGAATCAAATGACCTGGAAGGGTGCCCAAGATAACACCTCGATTTCCATTGAATTAAAATAATTTATTTGGTCCATTTCAAAGTCCTTCCATACAGTGAGAAATGTTTTATTTGGTAAAGCGCCTGTTTGACAAACAATATTGCTTTATTCATTTTTATTTATTTAAAGAGAACCCCCCTTTTTTTCACTGCATGGATTTAGACTGTTTTGTTTTGTTTAGCTTTGTGGTGCTGGGGATCCAACCCAGGGGCTCTGATCCGATACACCCAGTCCTTTCATCTGTTTTTCTGGACTTGTAAGGAGGTGAGGGGTGGCTAGCTTCCAGAAATTACAGAGTGGAAACCCAGGACAGCTGCAGAAAGGTTGCACAGGTCTGAGCTTCACCACGCACCAGTCCCTGCTGAGGTTGAAATGGAGCTGGGAAAAACACAACCTGGACCCCCAGGTTGGTGTCCTACATGTGACTTAAGTGAAGGCAGATTTGACCTATCTATTTATTCACTCAACAAACAAATCCAGTGGCTACCCAGTTCTAGACAGAGATACACAGGTGAACAAAAAAAAACCAATGTCCCCAACCTCATAGGGTTTAGAATCTAATGGAAGGAAAATAACCCAGATTTTGAGCACTGTACTGTACTGCTAGAGTCATTCTTTAGTAATATAAGGACAGCTAACACAAACAAGCACTTGCTATGTTTAGCATTTAGTGATTGTTCTAAGTTCTTTACCCAGGATAACTTACAATGCCATAGTAACTCAGCGACATAGGTACCATTGTTATCCCCCCAATTGCAGGTGAGAAAACTGAGTCAAAGAAATGTTCAGGGACTTCCCCAAAGTCCCAGCTAGTGAATGCCAGAGCTGAGAGCCACAGCCAGACAGTCTGAGTCCTAGTTCTTAACCTAGTTCAAGTAGTATCATCTTTGCAAAAAGGAATCCTTTGAGCATGGGCACAAGCCACATCTGGAGGCAGTTCTGAGGTATGCTTTGCAATTTACTCCTATTACCCCAAAACATCAGTATCATCAATAATGAGACTATGGGAAACAATTTTTTTTTTTTTTACATTTTCCTATGTCCACTGTGGGTGGTTATGCTGATGGTACACAAAGTAAAACTAAGAGAGATTTTGCCAGTCTTGCAAATCTGATACCTATTTAAAAAGGATTCTTTGTCTATCTCTGAGCCTCATTTCTGCTCTGATTTTGATGAAGTCTATTTTCTCCTCTGGGTGCTGTGTCTTAGAAATGCATACTGCTCTTCTTCCATTAGAATCCCACCCCTGGGCACAAGCTCTGTGGTGGCAATACCCTGCAGCTGCCCATAAACAATAAGTCACACAAAGGATAACTGAGGGTTTCAAGTTTCCTGTTTACAACCTCCATCCAATGGGGACCTCTCTGCGAGAAATGTAAGACTGGCAACAGATTAACAAGGGTTTGGTTATTTTACAAGGGAGAACAATGGTTCCTCTGACCACCACTTTTGATTCATTCCATCTCTGGTTTCCATGGAGCATCATAAGAGGATCTATGTGTGTGTCCAGAGTGGAGGGAGAGAAGCAGCCCCAGGCACACCAGGGAGGAAGCAGCCCCGGATGAGCCTCCCTCCCAAAGAGAGTACTGTGTCAACACTTGGGATCCAGTTCCTGTGTGGGTGGTTTGCTCTCTTGGGGAACACCATGATAACAAGTCTCCACTGGGGCAGTCTCATTCTTCCCTTCTCGGGAGGGTGATCTTTGCCTGTGAGTTGTGTTCTGTTTTCAAGATTATGCTTATCTCAATCTTTGATTGTGGCTCATTGAAAAATCTGACTTGCCAGCTGCCAGGAAATCAGACCTGCCAGCTGAACTGCCTCTCTGTCGGTAACCAGTGAAGAATTTTCTGGAACTGCTCTGGAAGTTAGGGGGACAAGGGTTGAGCATCCCTTATCTAAAATGCTCAGGAGCAGAAATAATGTGGATTTCAGATTTTGGAGTGTTTGCATGAGACTCAAGTCTCAACACGAAAGTCATCTAGGTTTCATATTCACCTTATGCACACAGCTTGACGGTAATTTTACACAACATTTTTGATAAATCCGTACTCAAAACCAAGTTTGTGCACATCAACTGTCAGAATTGTGTCATCATGTTGAACCTTTTGGGAAAGGTTTGGGTTTTGGATCATTTTGGATTTCAGATTTTCAGAGTAGGAATATACTATGCAAGACATCTGTTGTTTTGGGGGTGTCTAGAATCAAATCCCTCTTTCTTCGCCTCTTGCACCATGGGTCCCCTGTTATTACACACCTGGCTCAGAGGTGGAGCCTGTGAGTTAGTCCTAAGCCAATCAGGGCCTTGTGTTTCCTTGGCTTCCTGTGATTGGTTCATTGGTAGTTGTGCCACCGTTAGAGCCAATCAGAAGAGCAGTGAGGCTTTTGCTGGGAATTCTGGGAAGGAGACTCGCTCAGTCCTGGCTGGACTCAAGAGGTGGGAGGTTGGAGCAGCTGTGGCCATCTTGCTGCCTGCAGAGAGCACCCGTCAGAGGACGCAGTCAAGCCAGGAAGAGGACGGCGGGGACCCTGGATCTTGGGCACAAGACAGTCTGAATCAGTGTCTGCAGCAAGCCCTGCTTCCAGACCCACAGTCTGTGATTCACTAAATTTCCTTGAAGCCCTACTTGGGCTGGGATTTCCTCTTTCTTGCAAGGCAAGAGCTATTTGCCCCTCGGGAAAGTTGAGGGGAAGCCTAAGAACAGGAGCGGAAGGGCAGTTCATAGCCCTTCAGTCAGGAAAGTGATTCTCATCTGAGGCTATTTGTCCCTTCACATTTATCATGAAAAGACAGAAACTGCAACATGTGCTTTTAGAGCCTATAGCTTGCTTTTCCATTTCCTATCTAAACTGACATTTTTATGGCGGGGGAATCTGTCCAATTTATTATTTAAGTGATGGCTGGTTATGTCTTAAAGTGAACACAGACACGAGTTGATTCCTCAGTAGAAGCCATGTATATCTGTTTTTGGTCACCCTGCCTTTTAAATGCATATGATGTCACTCTTTTCACCTGAGGGATGCTGTAGGAGGACCCTTGGCCACTAAGCCCCTCTCTCAGCCGATGTCCCCAGAGGGCCTTCAGCAGTGCTTTATTTTTTAAAGAGAGTATTCCTGCAAATCCATAATTCAAATTCAAGCCAGAGTGAGTGGACCTCATTGTTCTCCCTCTCATGTTCAAACCCAGTTCTCAGGTTTTACATTAGGCCTTCTGGTTCCGTGTCCTCTGACAATGGCTTGTGTGTAGTGGATCAGGGTTTTTTATTGTTCTTTAGTGTAGGCTGATTTTTTTTTTTTTTTTTTTGTACCAGGGATTGAACTCGGGTGCACTTAACCACTGAGCCACATCTCTAGCTTTTTTTGTATTTTACTTAGAGAAGGGGTCTCAGTGAGTTGATTAGGGCTTTGCTAAGTTGCTGAGGTTGGCTTTGAACTTTCAGTCCTCCTGCCTCAGCCTCCAGAGGTTATGGTTTTTAACATATATCAGGGAAGGGAAGAAAGGAATTTTGCCACTTTTGCCCAGAATATTGGCCAAGTGGTGGCTATCAGAGCCCTTTCAGTCTCAGTTAAGAATGAGAAACCTTCTTTCTGGTGAAAATATATGTGTTTTGTGAAAGTGTTAGAATATTTGAAATATGAAAATGATAGACTATTTCATGTCACTTTGTGACTAGATCTCTCTGTAATTCAATTCCTTCCCATTTCCTTCTCTCCAACATCTGAGATGGAATATTGTGTCATAGACACAAGGTCACTCAGATGTCAATTCAGAAGGATTCTGCCTACCTGAGACTTTCTCAGTACTATCTTGGAGAGAACAGGGACCTTAAAATCAGACAGTTTGAGGTTCTTGTCCTGGCTTTACCATTCTTTTCCTGTGAGTTAAGGTGAGATACTTAACTTCTCTGGGCCTCAGTTTCCTCTTCTTTGAAAGAGGTAAGTCCTGGCTTGCAGAATTATTGGGACAACTGCACACAATAAAATAGGTAAAAGGTGTTTTAAGAATGTCAGTACTTCTCAAAATAAGCCAATCCCAACAGACCAAAGGCCAAATGTTTTCTTCGATATGTGGATGTTGATTCATAATGGCAGGGGGGCAAGGGAAGAATAGAGGAACTTTGTTTTTTTTTTTTTTTACCATTTTATTTATTTTTTTATTGGTTGTTCAAAACATTACAAAGCTCTTGACATATCATATTTCATACATTAGATTCAAGTGGGTTATGAACTCCCATTTTTACCCCACATATAGATTGCAGAATCACATCGGTTACACATCCACATTTTTACATAATGCCCTATTAGTAACTGTTGTATTCTGCTACCTTTCCTATCCTCTACTATCCCCCCTCCTCTCCCCTCCCATCTTCTCTCTCTACCCCATCTACTGTAATTCATTTCTCTCCTTGTTTTTTTCCCATTCCCCTCACAACCTCTTATATGTAATTTTGGGTAACAATGAGGGTCTCCTTCCATTTCCATGCAATTTCCCTTTTCTCTCCCTTTCCCTCCCACCTCATGCCTCTGTTTAATGTTAATCTTTTCTTCCTGCTCTTCCTCCCTGCTCTGTTCTTAGTTGCTCTCATTATATCAAAGAAGACATTTGGCATTTGTTTTTTAGGGATTGGCTAGCTTCACTTAGCATAATCTGCTCTAATGCCATCCATTTCCCTGCAAATTCTATGATTTTGTCATTTTTTAGTGCAGAGTAATACTCCATTGTGTATAAATGCCACATTTTTTTTATCCATTCGTCTATTGAAGGGCATCTGGGTTGGTTCTACAGTCTAGCTATTGTGAATTGTGCTGCTGTGAACATCGATGTGGCAGTATCCCTGTAGTACCCTCTTTTAAGGTCTTCAGGGAATAGTCCAAGAAGGGCAATAGCTGGGTCAAATGGTGGTTCCATTCCCAGCTTTCCCAGGAATCTCCATACTGCTTTCCAAATTGGCCGCACCAATTTGCAGTCCCACCAGCAATGTACGAGGAACTTTGGATTGGGCAGAGGAGAATAAGGAGAGGAGAGAGGGCTTGGGGTTAGGAAAGATGGTGGAATGAGAGTGACATCATTACCCTAGGTACATGTACGATTGCTTGAATGATGGGACTCTACATCATGTACAACCAGAGAAATGAAAAGTTGTGCTCCATTTGTGTACAGTGAATCGAAGTGCATTCTTCTGTCGTGTATAACTAATTAGAACAACAATAAAAAAGAATGTGAGTGCTTCCGTCCTTTTCTCTTTCTGTCCTCAGTATGGGAATAAGCCCACAGGCACATGCAGGTGAAATAAGTGCAGTTCTGGTCTCCTGGCCAGGAGAACGGCTTCTGGATGAGTTTGGGCTGTGGTGCAATCTCTCTCTCTGCAGAGAGAGATCAGAATATTTTTAACTTTGCCAACAGGCCACGTGCAGGAGACACAAGCAGGCTGCTTTGAGTTACTAAAGCTGTTTAGAGAGAGAAGCAGCTCAGGGAGGCCTGCCTTCTGGGTCTGTCTCATTGACAAGGGGGTGGGCTTTTGACCTCTGTCTGTCATGTGATCTTTGTGGTTTCTGTCTGCCCTGACTTCAGTGGTCCATGTTATTCAGACTTGAAAGGAAATGACAAGGTCCAGTGAGCTAAGGGTACCTGGGGAGTTCATGTGTCTGTGACATGTCAGAAAGTAACTCAATTAACCAGTGGTACAGAGAGAAGAGAATCTGTGAATGTCTGTTTGAGAGCAGAGACAACTCGCCACTTCTATACCTGGGATACACACCAGCCCCTTGAAAATTAAAGGTTCACATGGGCTCCATGATTATGGGGCTCAACTGGCCAGGAAGGGTCTGGAGAGGGAATAACAACAAGCAATTCCTGGCATTTAAAATTTTATGCATCCAAAATAAGATAGATGAGATCTTAGGTATTTTAAATCCTGAACCTAACAGTTCAGAACCTGTAAAAATGCAATGTCAGCAGTAATAAACTCATATGTATAGTGCTTTTTAATATCCAAAACATTTTCATATAATATATTAAGGCTGATCCTTTCCATTTCCTGGGAGTACATAAGTTAGCTTTCTTGTTTGTCTTGATCAAAGGTCAGTTGGTGGCATGGAATTCAAACCCACTACAGGTACCAGTTGTATGTGTAATAGTCAGACTATCACTCTACCTTTCTAAGTGATAGAGCTCAGCACCTCAGTGATGTTTTTCTCCCCAGTGTTGCCTGGAGCTAAGACTTGGCTATCAGTTCTTGCTGCCAAGTTTGCACTACACTTGTAATTGTGTGAGCTCTGTGGCACTCTCGAGAAAAGGCAATCCACCTACCCCATCTTGCAGCCTGCCCTTAAATTCACAAGGACACATTCCTACATGGAGTCTCTGGATATTGTAATAAGATTGTCACAGGTCGTTAATGCAGTTTAGTTCTGCATCCTAACTGACTGGAAAAACTGATTCAATTGCAAACTTTTTTTTTTTTTTTTTTTTTGGCAACTGTATGAGCATCTTCCCAAAATATATTAGAGTTGCCACTGACAGATGGTGTGAGATGGGCCCAGGGATGCTGTTGACAGATATCTTGCAATGGATCTTATTACATTGACATATCTGAAGAATTCTCATGGGAAATGTCTTCACAGGCCTGAAGGCTGACAGAACAAGATGGAGGCCCTTCAAGACAACTGCCAATAAGGAAAGACGGAAAATGGGAACAACTTTCCAGAGATAATTTAGCAATATGTATAGAGCCTTGGGAATTACCCTTTGACCTAGGATTTGTCTTCTCAAGTTTTAGCTGCAAGAGTTGCTTAACCACGTGTGGAAAGATTTTGTATGGAGATCTTCTTTGCAACATAATATATATAATGGAAGAAACTGGAAATCTCCAAAAGTCCCATAATATCAGACAGAAATACACAAGTTAATAGTTGTCCCTCCCTATCTATGGGTTCCATATCCATGAATTCAACCAATTCATATCAGAGACGTAGTTGACCTATGATGGTTGCATCTGTGTTGAATATATATAGACTGCTTTTTCTTATAATTATTCCTTGAACAACACAATAAAATAATATTCGAGAAAGGTATTGGGTATTGTAAGTCATCTAGAGACAATTTAAAGTGTAGGAAGGGTGTGTGTAGGTTACAGGTAAATACTATGATATTTTACTTGTGACAATCCTTCTTAGATATCCATAGATAGCTGTATATTTATATTCATACTCACTATGATTTAAAAAGCAGGATAAAGAATAATTTATTTAGGATGATCTGTTTTGTAAAAGGAAAAAAAGACTGTTGACAGTGACCATCACTGGGTGGTGTTATCACAAGTGATTTGTCATCTGTTTTGTATTTTAAGTGAACAAGAAAGCTTCTTCAGGTAATAAAAAATATGTGCTACCGAAAATTTATGTAAACTCTAATCCATAGAAAACTTTGAATAGGAGAAAGCATTTGCTATAATCAATACAACTGTTCAATGCTAACTTTTATATACTAGCCTTTGTCTATGTACATGGAATTTTTTTTTCCAGCGCTGAGAATTGAATCCAGGGTCTCACATATGCACAACCACTGAATTCTAGCCTCAACCTGGAAATATTTTTATGTATTCAGAAATCATCTACAGTTTTGTGTTCCATTTTTTACAATCCAAGTAAAAATAATACATGCAAAACCTCTGATGAATCTGAAAAAATCTCAGTGTGCATACGCTTATTTGGTCCAAAATAGATATCATATGAATTATTAATTTGTGTCCATCAGTTCTCAGTTACTGTAACAAATACCTGATTTCACCAGTTTATAAAGATAGAGAGTTTATTTTGGGTCCTAGGTTTGGAGGTCTCAACCCTTGGTCAGTTGGTCCCATTGTTTGGGGCCTGTGGGGAGACAGAAATCAAGGAGGGAATACAGAGGGCAGAAAATCACTCCCCTCTTGGTGACTGGGAAGTAGAAGAGAGGGAGAAAGGGGAACTGGGGCCCTGCAATTCCCTTCAAGAGCACAATCCCAGTGACCCCACTTCTTAAAATTCCCACCACCTTCCAACAGTACCACACTGACAACCAAGCCTTCAACCTACGGGCCTTTGGGGAACATTCCAAATCCAAACTGTAGCATAACTGAATTGTTTGACATTTGACAATCAACATATATGGGTAACTTTCCTAATCCCAAAATCTGCTTCTCCAAAACAGTTTCAACTATCACCCCGTTCTATGGCAGAAATATTACCATAGGCTTGCAATCAGGCATCTATAACTTACTACCTGAATTTAACACATTTAACAGATATTTTTTTAAATACCCAAAATATCGTACAAGACATAAGATTTAAACTGAACTCACTGGAAAAAGGGAATAAATGGGCTTTAAAGAACAGTGAGTGAAAAAACATGGAACATTAGCCACAGCAGCAAAAATGATTTCGAGACAGATGCAAAAATGAAATTGAGAGAGACGGTACGACATGAGAGACTGTGCCTGAGACGTCGATTTGATGTCCATGATGACAATGACCTCCAGGGGAACTGAGTACAGTATGAAAATTCAGTACTTAAAAATCAAAATCAGGATCGAAGCAGAAAACAAATTTACTGCCTTCCAAAAACAACGCGGAACCTGTGGGTGTGTTATAACAAGGCCTGCCTCATGCAATTTAAGTCAAAATATGACTTTCATCAGAGAATTATTTTTGTTCTTCCATGAAATAGAGCAGGAAATATGTTATGAAATTATTTGCCAAGGTCAAGAAAACGTATAATCTTGATGACAGGGGGAGGGAAAATAAAAGAGAAATAACTGAACCCATGTCTAGACCAGTGATTCTCAACTGGGGGCAACTCTGTCCCTTGGAGGACGTCTGGCAATATCGGGAGACATTTTGGGTGGTCATGGTTAAGGAGGTGGGCGAGTGCTGCTGGCCTCCAAACAGTGGGAGCTGAGATGGTGTGGGTCCACAGCGCACAGAAGAGCTTCCTACAACAAAGAAACGTCATGGATGCTGAGGAGCCGGGTGCAGACAGTGACAACTGATCTGGGAAGAAATGACCAAATTCTGCTGATCTGCTCTCCAGTGGTGGTGGGGAAGGTGGCAGGTGGCTGAGGGAGGTGCTCACTTCTCCCAATTCTCCTGCACAGGCCATAGGAAGGATGGCTTCCAACTGCTGATGGCCAAAGCATTTATATAAAACTGTAAGTATGGGAAAATCTTGATTTAGCTGGAATTTATGCAGGCAAGGCACCAAGTCTCGCAGATGTTTTTCTCCCCCCTCTATACAAGGAGAAAGGAGCAAAATACAAAAGGAAAAGGCTCATTTCAGGGACATCGAAAACATGTCCGAGGGTGGCGTTCAAAGTCTCCTCAATCTCCTGTTTAGTTTTGGTTTGTTTTTTCTGGACAATGGGAATTGGGGTCCAGAATGCTTAACCCGTGATACAGCCTGACCCTCAACTGTCAGACGAACATTAAATTAATTTTGGAATAAACTGTGCTTCTTAAAGACAGGAAACCCAACTCATACTTTTCAGTAAGATTTCCAACGTCAAGAGTTGATGTGAAAAAGGTTTTCTCTGAAATAACCTGGAATCTCCCATTCCCTGGACATTTTGACTAATTGGAGTTTTCCTGTAGCTTACATTCTTTAACATAGCCTTGACATTGGCAAGTTTTACAGGAAGGGCTACTGACGGTATTTCAAATTCAACTCCAAATGTTCCCTTTCTGCATTTTACCTTGGTAATGTTGGAATGCATTAAAATAAGCAGGCAACATTCCTTTGTGATCAACAAATCAAGGTGAGGGCTTTAAAAAAATCTAAATAAAACAAAAACATTCATTAGATAAAGAAGAGTTGAGAGCATCAGAAGAGAAAAGTCTGGTTCCGATTTGCTTATTCCAGTTGGGAGCTTTATGCTGCACAGCTGTGTCCATTTTGAGGCGTTTGCAGAGTCTGATTTAAGCACTTGCATGATTTTTTTACTAGGTTCAAACCACATTGAGGTCCAAGGTTTTGCCTGGATCTTCCTAATCTCATTCTGTCCGGGCTGACTTCAGCCAACACCAGCTCTTCTCTAGACTTACTTGCTAACTGACAGCCGGCAGACAGTATGGTGTCCAAGGATGTGGGGCTGAGGGGAGGCAAAAGCCATGCTGACTCCAAAACTCCAATCACCTTTAATTAGTCAAGAAAGATCAACTGCTCCAGAATGTTCTTCTACTGAGACAGGCAGAGCCAGAAGGCCGCAGTGGGCTCCTGGGTCTGTCTGAAGATCTTGTGTTTCTCATTTACTTTCTTTGGCTTTTGTTTTTCCCACCTTTATAAATAAGGTGCTAAAAATTGCTATCCTAGTTCCTACTGGATATAGCAATGTTTTATTTAGAATATGCAGAAATGTTCCTAGTATGTCTGGAGCTGGGAGATCTCTCTGTCCCTGATTCTCTCCCTCAAGGTCGAGAATCTCCAGTATGATACAATTCTAAGAAAGTTAGAGTGAACTAGAATCTCCCTAGTGAACCAGAATCTCCCTAACAGGACATCCGGTCAAGGTGTGTTTTCCCCCCTGTGTAATAACATGGAAGAGTGAAAATAGCATCAAATTTGGTTCTCCACAGACCTGGGAGAACTGAACCTGGGTTTCAGCCACGTGACCTTAACAAAATCAATGTGCTTTTCTGAGATGCAGCTTCTTCAACGATAAAATGGTTTTATCAGGAGTACCAGTATGTGGTGGGGATTAAAGTAAACCATCCAGGAAAGGGAAACAGTTGGAACTCAATGTATGTGGGTCCCATCACCTACCCTTCCCAGATGCCACACAACACTCACACACACAGACCACAGTCATTTGTGGGCCCTGTGGATGCTTTGCTGAGTGCTTCTTAGGGGAAAGAGTTGAAGCATTGAAACTGAACCAATTGTGAAGACCGAAAGTGAACAAAGGCAATTCTTAGAGCAGCTTCTGAAATAAACTTATGACAGGTCTGACTCTTTGGTTTTCCACACAGTGTTCTGAATAATGAGAACTACGGGTTCTTCATGGAGACCCTAACATTCCACAAGATCCTCAGTCGTGACTGAAAAGGGACACTGTGTTCTCATGTGTTGGTTAGGACTCTTGTTGCTGGTTATATAAACTACCTCAAGCTGGTGTGTGTGTGTGTGTGTGTGTGTGTGTGTGTGTGGTGTAAGGGGATATATCAATGTGTCTTATGGAGCCAAAACTCGTGTCTACTTCTTTCTGTGTATCTATTTCATTTTTTACTTTCCCAAACACCAGCTTTTTCTTCACTTCTTAAATGACAGAAAACAACTGTCCCACAATTCCAGAGGTGGCGTTACAGGCCCAATCACTTGAAGAGCCTGGTGCAGGCAGCTGTTGCTCCCTTTCCAAACTCTTCAGAAGAGATGAGAACCCTTTAGGTACACCACCCACCTCACCTCTAATCAGCTTTGGCCAGGGGGACAGGATCCCGTTGTACAAAGATGGCTGCCGGAGGCTGTCTCTTGGGGTCCTGCAGATGCAGATAAAAGAAGAGATTTTGAAGGATGGGGGAAAGGAGGCAGCATTAGACATAGACACACCAGAGGGATCATTCCACTTTACACAGTAGGAAAGAAAGTGAGTTAATACATTTGGGAGTCGTTTTCAATAGCCAGGGGAACAATCTAAAAGAATTTTCACATATCCCACAGTTAAGCCAAAATTTTAATTAACCCAAACTTATTTTCCCCTGCATCCTCATTGTAGCCTATACAAAGGGGGTTGCCCACCCAGCCGCCTGTTCCCCTTCCTAGTTGTCAGGACTCCACATTTATTTGGGTATCTTGCTCCTTCCTGTCATAGCAGGGGATCCCAAGCCTGTGTTTAGAAATCATTGAGTCTGATGGCTGCATTGTGACCCCATTTGCCTTTCTAGTGATTGGTTTAGACAGGTATGTGACAATCCTGGCCAATAAAATATGATGGGGAATTTGTTGAGAATCCTTGGGCAAAATGTTTTTCTCCCAGATGAAAAGAAACCCACAGGATCACTTTCCTTCCTTCTAGACACTTGTGCATGGGTATGATGCCAGTCTTATGACCACGAGGAGCAGAAAGATCACAGACCTTAAGTCCCCGACAGCATCATTTGAGCGACTCAGGAGGCTAACCCACCTCAGACTGCTTTACCTCCAGGATTCTTGCTATTTGATTGAAAGAAATGTTCTTATTGTTCAAGGCGGTTGAGCTGATTATTAACTTTTAGCTACTTGCATCCCCAGACATCATAACTGACACACCTCCTAATTAATACAAGTCATGAAGGCACAAGTAAGACATGCTTTAATGAGAGTCGACTTAATAGCAGGAGAATAATCCTGCAAATGCTTAAGAGAAGATGTCCCATTGGCACCATTGATATCGGTAACCAAGAGATCGCAAATCACTTCTAAAGCCCCCGGAGGCTTATCAATATATAGCATTTTGCAAGCACAACCACATTATTTTTTTAAAATATTCATAAGAAGCACCTCTAAGGAATGATCTGTTTAGAGCAGCTTTTTTATGCTTCAAAGTCCTCACCCCTCTCGACAGGGAGTTGGACAAGTTTAAAGTGGTTTCATTGTGTGTTCTGCTTGCTTGAGTTTGATAAGATGTGTTCTCGTGACAGGTCTGTCCCTGCAGTGGGTGCCTGGGATGCTTTGATGTGGGCTGCGTTCGGACAGCCTAATACTTGGGGGAAAATGTGCTGAAATTGAACAAGATTGCTTTCTGCCCAGCTGTTCTCCAAAGGCCTAGACATTTTTAGCACTGAGCAAAGAAGCTTGTATTTGTTTTGACAGTCTTGGCAGGGAGAACAATGGTTGATTATCCCAGTACTTTACTAACAAATAAGACTGCCTCCAGCAGAGATAAAATATAGGTCTTGACTTGATTGCATTTCATGTCCAAGGGAATTATCTTCTATTCATTCTGATGCCCTTTTCATTATGCAGTGTAGCTTTTTCGTTCCTTATCCTTGCTCCTTAAAGTAACCCATGACTTCCACCCTGAGAAGGCAAATTCCCGAAATCACCACGGGCATGGGGGTTTGATTATCCTGTAAAACATGTATTTTTCACTTCTCCAATTGGATTCACAGGAAGCTATTTTTTGGTTGTTGTTGTTGTTTGCTTTTAGATCTCCGGACTGTATGGTTAGTTTCTTCTCTAATTTTCTGTCTGCTTGCTTTTGGTATTATTTATGTTGCTCCTACTATTTCAGCATATATAAGTCTTGGATTGTGCAGCATATCTATGTTTAAAAGGCTATCCTAGGTATTTTTCTTCCCCCATATAGAGGAATGTTGGACACAAAGGAACTTTTGATATTTTTAATATAAATACTTCTATTTCTCTATTCTCCACCTTCCAGAAGATTTTAAAAAGTAAATACTCTTGTAAGAATATCATATATACAGATTCACATACACAGCTCAGTGCATTTCCAGAAACTGAACACGTTTGTGTAATTATTGTCCTTCATGCCCCCTCCCTGTCACTTCCTGCCTTTTCCCAAAGATAAGCTCTGTTCTGGCTTCGAAGCCATTGGATGCCCTGTTCCTCTTTGCAGGGTATTGTGTCTGTCTGATTCAATAGGGTTGTCGTGTGTGGTGGTGGCTTCTTCACTGTTACTGTGGCATACTATTCGTCTCATAAAATCGCCATGATTTAGCAGTCACCATTTGGTTCATGCACATCTGGATGATTACACATAGCACTGGTACCACGTTTCTGTCTGTGTCTTTTGTTGAATATATGTCTGCGTTTTCCCCCCAGTTATATGGACCTAGAAGCAGAATTGCTGGGGGGTTAATTCTGCTTATCACTGTCAGCAGATGGTCCCAATTTACACTTCCACCAAAGGCTTATGAAAGTCCTCTATTAATCCACATCCTTGCCAGCACTTGGTATTATTCTCTTTTAATTACACCAGTTCTGTTAAGTGTGTGGCAGTGTCTCATGGTGGTTTTATTTTGCATATTCCTGATGATTAATGAAATTGCATATATCTTTTGCTTATTGGCATTTAGATATACTCTTCTGTGAAGTACCTTGAACAGATATATATATACACACACACACACATACACACACACATATATATATCATATGTGCACATGCCATTTGACATACACACAAACACACATATATGAATATCTTATTAATTAGTAAAATTTCTTTATATTTTACAGGAATGAGTTTTTTGTTGGTTATATGTATTGAAAATACTGTCTCCCCCTCTGTGATTGCCTTTTTACATCATCAAAGGGTCTTGACAAATAGAAAATTTGAAAGAGTTTTAAACTTAACAAATATAATACAGAGAATTTCTGTACACCCTTCATTCAGCTTCCTCTAATAGCAACATATTACATAACCACAATACAATTATTGAAACCAAAAAATTAATATTGTCACAATATTGTTAACTAATCCACAGACCTTAATCGTATTTTGTTATTTTCCACTAATATCTTTTTTTCAGTTCAGGATCCAATCTAAGATTCCCACATTGTTTTAAATTGTCTTGTATCCTTAGTCTCTTCTAACTGGGGACAGTTCTTCAAACTTTGTCTTTTATAACTTTGACACTTTTGAATAGTGATTTTGTAGAATGTTCCTTATTTTGGGTTTATCTGATGTTTTCTCAAGATTATCAACACTCTTCCAATCATTAGTAACTAGAAACATAAGGTTCTGGCTTAGAGTCTTTTTTTTTTTTTTAAAGTCAGGTGTTGTAAAATTTACAACTTCAATACACTACCATTCACCCTTTTTAGTGTGCAGTTCTGAATTTTTGACAAACATTTACAGTTATGCAACTACTACCAAGATCAACATATAGGACAGTTCCATCCTGCCCTAAAATTCCTTCATGCCCCTTTGAGATCAACCTCTTCCCTGGCCTTACCCCTTGGCAATTACCTATTATTAATTCGTCTAAGCTTTTTGTTTTTTGTCCAGAATTGTCATAAAGAATCATAGAATATATTGGGCTGGGGATGTGGCTCAAGTGGTAGCATGCTCGCCTGGCATGCATGCGGCCCGGGTTCGATCCTCAGCACCACATACAAAACCAAAGATGTTATTCCACTGAAAAAAACTAAAAAATAAATATTAAAATTCTCTCTCTCTCTTTCTCTTTTAAAAAAAAGAGAATCATAGAATATAGATCCCTTTGAGTCTGACTTCACTTAACATATGTGCATTTGAGATACATTCCTATTGTTCTATCAGTAGTTTTTTTAAAATTGCTAAGATATCTACTACTGTATGGACGTACCACAATTTGTTTATTCATTCACCAGTTGATGGGCTTTTGAATTATTTCCAGCTTAGGGAAAATATGAATCAAGCTGCCATAGAAGTGTGTCCACAGTTTTTTGTGTAGACAGAAGCATTCATGGATGTCAGGTATACACCTAGGTATGGAATTGCTAGGTCATGTGATAACTGCATGTTTAACTATATATACAATTTCCAAAACATTTTTCAAATGACCATGCCATTTGACATTCTCACCAGCAATGTATGAGAATTCTAGTTGTTCCACGTCCTTGTCAGGACTTGATACTGCTGTTTTTTTTCCATGAATAGATTGAGGTTGTTTTTGGTTTTTGTTTTTGACAAGAAAACCACTGATGTGACATTTTGCTCTTCTCAGTTCATCATATCTGAATATACATAATATTGAAATTATTACTTCAATATTTTGATTAAGTGGTGTGTACTAGAATTCTCTATAGCAAAGTTACTATTTTTACCTTTGCAACTATTAAGTGCCCTGTAGGGAGATTCTCTGAGACTATACAAATATCCTAGTTCTCATTACAGTTTCACACACTAATTTTACCATCTCTTGTTGACTGCTGCCTGCAGTGACTATTACTCCATTGTTGTCTAGTGGGTATTTTCCATAACTGTATTCCCAAGTGTGTTAATTGGAATTCTGCTCTGATGAAGTACTATCCTTTCATTCTCACTTATTTATTCAATTATATCAATATAGACCCTTGGGTATTTATTTTATTCTATGGTTTATAACCTACTTCTTTCATATTTATTTTGTTGCTCAACTTGCCCCAGATTTAACCATTGGCTGCTCTGTCAGGTTGGTCCCTATTAACGTCAGCTATCATTTTCTGGATACTTTCTTACTTTCTGATCTCCCAAGATTTTCCAGGTTCATCTTGTATTTTCCCTTTCCAGGACCTGGTGTCAATCATTTTCCCAGGGATCCCCAGTTTTTATCATAGGGTGATAGGTAATAGAAACCAATATCTTGGACTAAGGGTGCTCATTGTTACTGGGTATCATTGTTTCTAAGCTTCTCCAGCAGGAAAACTAGGGGTCTGGCGGTGTGGCTCAGAGGTAGAGCGCTCACCTAGCATGCATGAGGCACTGGGTTCGGTCCTCAGCAACAAAAATTTTTTTTAAAAAATTGGGAAAACTAGGAATTATGTGAAGTGTGTGAGAAGATGTGCAGCACACACACACATTTATTTCTACTCCTATGCCTTCTGGATGAATTTATATTAAAAACCATGAAAAATAAATAAAATAAAAGTCATGAAAAAAATAAATTAAAAAAAGTCATGAATTCATACTTTATTCTCTAATCCAATTTACTGCATGGCTCCTTTGATTCTTCAGTTACCATCATCTTTTATCTTCTTTCTTTGATATTGAAAAAGCTGGCTTCATTATCTACAATAGATTTATTTATTTGCATGAACTAGTATACACATAAAAATAATTTCAGAATTGCTCACCCATGCCCTTTATGAAAAACAACTTAACTTCACTAGTGTATAATAGTTCCATAGTTCTTTTACCTGTAGTTTTACAATATGTAACTAGGATCTGATTTTCTAAAGTGATTTAGTTAGTTTTTTCTTCTCCCAACATGTCAGTTGGTTATGTTAATCAAGAAGTTGCTAATCTTGTTAGTTGTTAGTTATATTTATCTATCCCCCTGGAACTGGTTTTTGTAAACTTTTATTGCAATATCATATACAAAGAGAAAACGTATCAGATGGCTTACCAATGCAGATCCATGGGGAACACCTAGTGCACAACATGGTGTATTTCCACAGACTCTACAGTCCCAGGAACCAGCACCTCCGAAGCCCTGTCCTACACACTTCAACCACTACCCACTCCTTATGGTCACCATCGTAATAATTTTCAGGGGTGATAGATGTGGGATGCTTTCTTGACTCTGCCTGGAGAAACTGTTAACCCAGAGTTTCTGTGAGTGTGCCACAGATGGCTTACCAGTGCAGATCCATGGGGAGCACGCAATGAATCGGAATCGCTGGGTGTGGACTGCGTCTGTATTCCTAACCTGCTCTCCAGGTGATCCCTCAGCCCCCCGGGGTTTAACCGCACAGCTCTCGAGGCTCCTTTGAATTATGGCAAAGCTCCACCATCTCAAGTACCAAAAGACAGTCTCACGCCACTTTCTCAGAGAAATGCAGGGAGAACCAGTGTTCATAGCTCACCGGGCGGCCATCTGGGCTGCTCATTTAAGTCACCGTTTATCTAGAAAGGAGACAGTTGACAGTTAAGATTCTCCACCCACAGAGAAGGGACTGGCAGGACAATGGGACACAATATAATTTTTTTTTCATTTCACAAATTGTCCTGGGGTTTTCATGACTTATCTACAAGGGTCCCTTTCTCTTGTGACTATCGGAGAGATCTTTCTCCCATCTCTGAATTCCTTGTGCATCCCAAGAAGCAGAGCCAAACCCAGGGGTGGGAATGTCACGGGCTCTAGTGCCTCTGGATTTACTGAACTCCTGCCGCTAAGCCAGCCAGCTGCGGCTCCTGCACCCTGTGTGTCCTGCCTGTTCCTCACATGTCCGCTCACTCTTTTACCCAACGCTACCAGTAGAGCACAGTGACACAGACTCACACAGGTTAACAGCTGCCAAGAGGTACCTGGGGACGTGTGAATTCGGGGCTGTCACCTTGTTCCTCATTTAGGCAGCTGGCCAGCACCTGGGAGATTTTTCTGGATTTACCAAACACACATCTGAAGCTGAGAGAAGGGAGAGGCTGGTGGGAACAGGGAACGGAGCTGAGCCCTGTGGAGAGAAGGCTTTGGGAGCAGCAGGCCTAGACTTAGAACCCATGCCTGCTACTTCCTGTGTTACTGTGGGCAAGTCACTTAACCTCCCTGAGCCTTTCTTCTGTTATCTTTAAAAGAGGAGACTTTGATCTATTCTTTGCAGGTTTGTGTAGTGTATTAAAAGACACAATGTTAAAAGTAGCTGTTAAAATTATGTTATATAGTAAGCTTTCATTTGTGTCATGGCCATTTTCCTAACATGAAAAACCTGCTTGGCAAGTTACCTAATTGCTCAGTGTCTCGGTTTCCTCATCTGTAAAGCAGGGACAATAATAGTATCTCACAGGGCGGTTATGAAGATTCAGTGAGTTAATCTCTGCCAGACGCTATAGAGCAGCGTTAAGCACATAGACAGAAACAGGACTGGTCTATGACATGCCAACTTAGGTTCACACTCATTTAGAGCCACCGGAGAGTTAAGAGGAGGCTGGAAATGTGGGATCCAAGATTGGTCCGGTTTCCCAGGAGACAAAACAAGTAACTGCTCTCTAAGTAGGTGCTGCTCTAACATAGACTGGGTGGCTTATAAATGATGGTACTTTATTTCTTACCTGCTATAAGGCTGCAAGTCCACGACTGGGGTGCCAGCATGGTTGGTTCTGGTGAGGACCCTCTTCCAGGCTGCCGACTGCCTACCCGCTTCTCCTTGTGTCTTCACAAGAGAGCTCAGGAGCATGGGTAGGGGGTCCTCTTATAAGGACCCTAATCCTCCAGGGCTGGGGGTGTAGCTCACTAGTAGATCACCTGCTTAGCATGCCAGCACCAAAAAGTGAAAAAAGAGAGAGAGAGAGAGAGAGAGAAAGGGACAGTATTTCATTCATGAGGACTCCACCCTTAGAACCTTAGCACAACCTGTACCCCTCCCCACCCCCAGGCTCCACCTCCCAATGTCACTCATCTGGGATTGAATTAAACTTAGGATTTGGGACACAAACCTCCAGTTCAGAACATGACCTTCTGGTTGCAGACCCGCTCTCCCCTCCTCTCTGGAACGAGGGAGCCTTTTCTTACAGAGGGGTCCCTGCTTTCTCCTTCTTTTCCTACATGAATTCAAGCACGCAGACAAATCATATTAATTATCTACTGCTATCTAATAAATTACCCTCAGAACTTAGTGGTTTAAAGCAAACATTTATTACCTACATTTTCTTGGGGGCCAGGAGTCTGGGAAGAGCTGGGCCCCGTGGCTGTGCTCGGGCTGTCTCAGGAGACAGTGGCCAAGGTTTGGCTGGGGCTGCGGTCATCTGGAGACTTGACGGGCCAATGGAGCCATTCCCAGGACAGTTGCTCATCCGTCTGCAGGCAGGAAGCCTCTGCTCCTGACCCTGTGGGTCTCTCTGTAGGTTGCTGGAATCATCATACAGCATGGTGGCTGGCTTCCCCCAGAGCAAGATGGAAGAGCCACAGAAACGACAGTATATTTGTTTTTTACCACCCAACCTCAAAATTAAAACATCATCATTTCTGCAACAGCCTGTTCTCTGGAAGCCAGCCATTAAGGCCAACCCTCATTCCAGGAGAGGAGAAGTAGGCATATTCTAAAATCAGGATGCCACCATGATAGATCCTCCATAGGTTAGGGAAGGAGGTCACTTCCCAAATGAGCCTTCTCTGTGTCTCTTTGATTACCCAGCTGATCCCTCCTGGAAAGAGATTAGAAATTTCAAATTCTCAGCAGAGTTGAAAATAGGACCAGAAATAAAACAGAAAATAGTGAGGGTTCACAACTTCCCCAGGCGAGGCCCCTGGCTGGGCCTTAGGAGGAGGGGAGAGAGACAGAAAGAGGAAGTCACACTGAAACAGGAAGAGGCCTCACTCCCCGCGGTGCCTTCCAGGCCCTTTCCTCTCCCAGAACTTATTCGCAATAAGTGGGTGAAGAATCCTGTAACTACAGCAAATGGTGGCACAGGAGGAGGGTGCCCACCCAGCCTTGCGGAAAGGGGGCCTCCCTGGGAGTAAAGCCGTGCTGGGGTGTGGACAGGGGCCTAGCGTAGTGTTCACACCCCCAGGAGCAACACCACAGCCCGAAGGAGGGTCCAGGGCATTCCTGAGCTGGGAACACCTCCACGTGCTGGAGCAGAGAAGGGGGCAGTTTCCTCTCCAAGGCTTGAGAGCAGGGGCTACAGGCCCCAGGAGCCAGGATCTAGAAGTTCTTTCTGGACCGGCACAAGTTGTTTCTGGACCACCTTCTGCAGAGTACACGGACCCCACTCCCGTCCCCCGGTGAGGGGCAGGTGCTCTATTCTGAGAGCAGGGGTGGGAGTAAGAGCCCGGCCTTCTCAGACCAGGAGGCAGGCCTCACCGCCTCCCCCACCCCAGCCCTGCACCGCCAGCAGCCCTCAGAGCTTGTGGAAAGCAAACCCAGCTCCTCCCAGGTTCTCTGGCGCCCTTTCAGGCACGGAGCTGGGGTGGGCTCCCAAGCCCCATTAGTAGAGCTCAGAGACTCTTCCATGATTCCAAAAACACATTTTTCCCGGCAACACAAGAAAACGTGCTGCTTCCTAGGATCTCCCCACTGGAATTATCCATGGAACATGCAGAACGTAACAGAAAAGCAGTTTTCTCTTGGAAACACATGGAAAACAGTTTGTTTGCTTGGAAGAAAATCATAACTTGTTGTCTCCCCCCCACCCCAGAGGAAAATTAAGACGTTCACATATTTAGTCTTTTCAATCCCTTGTTTGTCTAGAGCTTTTGAATCAAAATGCAAACCCGAGGAGAAAAGTGCTTGTGGAGGAAAGTGCTTGAAGAGGAAATTTTTGTTAAAAGTGAGTCCCACAGGCAAAACTCTAGGGATTCTGAACTCAAATCGCCCATCAGGGTCTGTAAGACAAGAATGGGGAGCCAGGCACGGTGGGGCCCACCTGTCATCATCCCAGCAGCTCTGGAGGCTGAGGCAGGAGGATCATGAGTTCAAAACCAGCCTCAGCAAAAGTGAGGCCCTAAGCAACTCAGTGAGACCCTGTCTTTAAATAAAATATAAAAAAGGGCTGGAGATATGGCTCAGTGGTAAAGCACCCCTGAGTTCAATCCCCAGTACCAAAAAAAACCAAGAAAGAAAGAATGGTGTTTTGGGCCACAAAGCCAAATGACACATCTTTCACAGAAGGGAGGATGGCATTGATGTGTGTGTGTGTGTGTGTGTGTGTGTGTGTTAAAGACGAGGTAGTCAGTCAATAGATAATGGCAAAGTGTGAAAAATCCTATCATAATCTCCAAAGCAGGCTTGAGGTAATCCTTCTTTTGGAGACCTGCTCTTCCCAGTCAGGACAAAAACAAAAGAAAATCGCCCACATTTCATTTTGTTCACTGGTCCAGAAAATGGGCCACGGAAGATAAGTCGGAACGGTTGTTGGAGGTGAATGCCAGCAGCTAGGAGGTGGTCACTGGGGGTTTCTTCCTCCTAAGAACATCCTCAGCCTGGAGCCTGCCCCTGGGTGGGGGGGACCCCCCTCCCCCACAGCTGCCTTCCTCCTCCCACTTCAAAAAGCTTTCGGAGGCTTCTTTCTTGGCAACATGAAGATCTACGTGCGTGCGTGCGTGTGTGCGGGGCTTCTGGAATCCGTTCTGAATGGTGATTTATGCTAAGTGGTTCACAGCCCCTCCCCCCACCCAGGATTCTTCCAGAGAGCATTTAGCTGATTTGGAAAAAAGTGTATCAGATCCCCCAGAGAACTGTGGATGAGTGTCATTCTGATCATTCTCTACATGCTCAAAGCTTTACAAACTGAATCCCGAGAATGCACCAAAAAGAAAAAGAAAGAAAAAAAAAAACCCAAACCAAACAAAACTAAAAACTGCTTGCTAACCTCTGAAGGGAAAACTGGTTACCCTTGAGGACAAGCTCGGTGTGGGTGAAGGAGATGGAGATCGATTCTCTGGGTGGGTCGTTTGAATAGCCTCCTGGGTATTTCCAGAAGTAGGACTTAAATGAGCCAAATTCATCACACCCTCCTCCTTTTAAAACACCTTACTAAGCACCTAATATGTGCCAAGAGCTTGGCTCGGTGCTTGTGAAAATTTACAAAAATGTAGCCAGTGAATCTTGAGCAAAGGAAGAACATGAGGCGAGCTGCACCTTTCCTCTTGATTTCTGCCGGTGACACTTTCTAAATGGCGACCCAGGAAATAGATCCCAACCGACAGCCGGAGTCTCCTGGGTGGAGTGACAGACTTCAGAGGCAGGTTGCCGCATGAGGGTTCTCTTCAGTCTTTGACCAGATAAAAGCTTGCACGGTGCACAGGACTCTGCACTGGCTGGCAGAGAACAGCTACCAAGGGACTGTAAGCTGGAGGGATTCTTGAGGTTCCACAGAGATGGAAGACATTGGATCTGTGGCAGCCGCAGTTTAGCCATCTCACTGAAGACTCTCAGCATTCAGCTGAGACTCAGGAAGGCCAATCCTCACTCTTGGCCTGCCATTCGGGCCACCCTTGACCCACTGTAACAACTTGATCCTCAGCAGGATCAAGTTGAGCCTTGATACCTGGATCGCTAAAGCAATGCTCAACACTCAAAATTGAGACAACATACTCCAGGTTCAACATTATAGCATTCCAATGTCCAGCATTCAATAAAAAAATTACTAGACACATAAAGTGGCAGAAAATATGACCTATAACCAGGAGAATAATAAATTCTAGTAAAAAGAGAATTTTTCCCAGAAATGACACATGTGGGCAACAGAAAATATGTTAAAGCATCCATAACAAAAATTCAAGGCTTAAAAGAAAAAGATGGCCATCGATACCTTAAAGGAGAAAGACTTCAAAAAGAGGCAACTGGAAATTACAGAACCGAAATATACGATCTATGAAGTGAAAAATTCATTCTATGCCTTTAACTTTGGATTGGACCCTGCAGAAGAAAAGATCAGTGAACTTGAAAACAGGTCAATAGCAATGATCTCAACTGAAGCAGAGAGAACAAAGAGGGACTAAGAAAACGAACAAAGGCTCAATAACCTTGGCAAAGCCTCAGGCAGTATAATAAATGTGTCTGTGGATTCCAAATAGGAATGAGGGGGAAAATGAGACTGGGAGGAAAATGGAAGAAATAACGGCCATTTTCCCCCCAAGAGGTCCACGTGTTAGAGGTGGGTTCCATAGATGTGCTACTGGAGGTGGTGGGAACGTTACGAGGTGGGCTTAGTGGGAGGTGTTCAGGTCATTGGAGGTGTCCTTGAAGGGATTTGTGGGACCCAGACTCTTACTCTCTCTTTCTTGCTTCCTCACCATGAGGTGAGTGGCTTTGCTCAGCCATGTACTCCCTCAATGATGAGCCACTTTGAGACAAGCCCCAAAGCAACAGACCAGTCAAGCATGGTCTGAAGCCTTCAAAACTACGAGTGAAAAATAAACCTTTTCTCTTTATAAGTTGATTGTTTCAGGTATTTGTTATAGTCATGAAAACTTGACTAACTTAACCATCAACTATAAGTAAAGGCCGTGAGACTTGAATAGCCACTTCTCAACAAAGACATAGAAGTAGTCAGTAAGCATGTGAAGAAGGTCTCAACATCATTAGTCATTAGGAAGAAGTAAACTAAAAAAAGGAGATTAAAACCACAATGATATACCACTACAGAGCTACTAGTGTGACTAAAATTAAAAAGTGTGATAATACTAAGTGTTGGTGAAGTGGAGGAATAAGTGGAACTCTCACACATTACTGGTAAGTGTGTTAAATGATACAAGCATTGTTACTAAAGAGGGAAAAACCAAGTCTTTCTATACTCTTATAATACTTCAAAGCTGACACCAAATGTGTGGCTTTTTTTACACTAACAAAAATTCTCCAACTCTCTAGACACCAAGTGGTTGTCCTGCAACTCAATTAAACCCTGAAGCTGTTTATACTCCACAGGTTAAAGGCTCAGTCCAACAGACTGCAGCCACTTCAGATGCCAACTACAAATTTCCACTTGTCACCTATATTTCTGGTCAACTAGTTTCAAAAAGTGAGGTTCCTATAGCCCAACCCCTTCCTTAGAATCAATAATCTACTAGAGTAGCTCACCAAACTCAGGGAAGTACTCACACTGACAGCCAGATGAAGAGACACATAGGCTGGGTCTGAGGGAAACCCAAGGGTAGGTGTTTCTGTCCTGTGGAGTTGGGATGAGCCACTCCTGGCACAGGGATGTGCTCACCAACCTGCAAGCCCTTTGAACTCTGGGTTTGGGGACATTCATCTAGGCTTCATCACAGAGGCATGAACAATCATTAACTCAACCTCCACTTGCTCTCCCTTCTCCAGAGGTGGGGAGTGAGGCTGAAGATTCTAGGCTTCCAGTTGTGGCTCGCTCCTTCCAGTGACCAGCCCCCATCCTGAAACCAGCCAGGACCCCACCGAGAGTCACCTCATTAATGAGAGATGCTCCTGTCCTTTAGGAGACGGCAAGGGATTTATTAGGTTTGTGTCAGGAACCAGTGTAAAAGAACAAATATTAAAATGAAAGATGTTCCTAGCATCCTATCACTCAGGAAATTGCGAGGGTTTTAGGAGCTCTGTGTCGGGGATCTGAAGATAAGAGCAGGCATATTTTTATTATTAGTTTTTTACGAAATTAAATATGCATCTACTCTGACCCAGCATTTCCACTCTTAGGTGTTTACCCAAGAGGAACAAAAACACATATCCACACAGAGACTTCCACGTGATGTTTGTAGGAGCTTTATTTCCAATGGCCCTAAAGTGGAGACAATTCAAATGTCCATCAGTAGGAAAACGAATGGAAAAAATGTCAGCCCTATTCAGACAAATGGAGGACCACTCGG